AGTAAAAACACAATCATTGGCACAAAGGCAAAAAAAAACAAAACAGAATACAAACCAAAACACAGGGACTAGAAAACTTTTACAATTGAAACACAAGGGAACAAAATCTACAAAAGCAGGAGGTGGGATTTGAACACGCAACAGAGGGATTTGTAGGCAGCTACATGCTCAACTTGTTGAGCCATGCGGCTGAAAGGGAGCAGGGGAAAAAACTAAGACTGACAACACGAGGGACGGGATGCAGCAACACCTGCTGGCCAAATGGGGAAAGGACACGAACGACTGGGACAACAAGAGCTGACCCTGACACAGCATGGCTCTGTAGTGGAAGAGTGCAGGAGCTATACTGGCCTGCCTGCAGTCCAGACCTGTCACACACTGAAACCTTTTGGTGCATCATGAAAAGGAAAAAAAAAAATGAAAAGGAGACCCCACACATGCTGCCATCCAGACAACGTCTTTTTCAGAGAAGACCCAGTTGCCAACACAATGCAGACTCGCCAACCTACCCGCCCTGCATGTTTTTGGATTGTGAGAGAATACTGGAGCCCCCGGCAGAAACTCACACAAACACAGGGAGAGCGTGCAAACTCCACACAGAAAGGACCTAGGACCAACTTCTTGTGAAACAGCAGCACTAAACACTACACCACCATGCCATCCCATCTGGCATAATCATGAAAAGAACAAAATATGAAAAGGAGACCCTGAACTGTTGAGAAGGTGAAATCCTGTATCAGGCAAGAATGGGACATTTTACCTTCAAAACTCCAGCACCTGGACTCCTCAGTTCCCAAACATAGAGTGCTGTTTTTTTTCTCCCCCCCTCCCCATGGTGATTGATGTCTGTTATTGTTACACTTGTTGTTTCTGTATTCCCCCCTGTTTTTCTTTTTTTTTTTTTTTCCTTTTTCCCACGGGACGGGTGAGTTCGGAGCGGCCACACTCTTTGCTCTTGAATGTAATGTAAAATAAAGTTGTCCTCCGAAGAGGGGGGGTGGGCAATGAAAAAAGAAAAAAAAAAGAGGAGGTGATGCAGCACAGTGGCAGACATGCCCTGTCCCAACATTTTTGAAACGTGTTGCTGCCATCAAATTCAAACTCAGCATATATTTATTATAAAACAATAAAATTTCTCAGTTTCAACATTTGATATATTGTCTTTGGTCTAATTTTAATTAAATGTGTGTTTATGTGATTTGTAAATTATTGCATTCTGTTTTACACACATTTTAGACAGCATCCCAACTTTTTTGGAAACGAGGTTGTAGTTATGTTTTTAGAAACGAAGGGGAAAGTTGTCAGGATGGGGTTTGGTCAATGACGATCCTGCGGCAGATTACCGACAAACAAGGGCTTTTTATTACAAATTAAACTTAGATACAACAGAAATTTGTAGCTGGTTGAAACAGAAAGTGACCAGGAGGAGCCTTAACAATGGCAGGTAGACACCCGAAAATCTGAAGTGAAACAGGAAAGCAGGAGAATGAAGAGACAACTTACACGACTTAAAGGATCTGCTGCTAACATCACAGACTCTGCTCTTTGTATGCTGGGTATCACATCACAGAACATAGTTAAACCAATGTAATAAACTACGGGTCTGACTAGCCATGCTTAGGGTGTAGAATTATTGTGAGACGATGGAAGTCAGTGACTCCCTCTTCCTCTGAACAGTGGCTTGATCTCATGTCCAATAACGTCACATGAACGAGCTGCGTTTAGAGCCTCACAGCGGCAAGACTGATTTTGAAAACATGGAGCCCCTTATTGAAATTTGTTAACAATAATAAGTGAAAAATAGAGCCCATTTTATAAAATAATGTAATTACTATTACTCATTTTTTTATTTTACAAGTGCGCATGGAAAATTCCAACAGACTTAGTCATTAAAGGTAAGGTCATTGGGTTGTTGTAGGAGCTCGGTCACAAAAGGAAGGAGGGACAAAACAGACACAGCCTAAGAGTGAAGCTGAGGATTTTATTTACAAACACAAACACAACCAAACAGAAACAAAAGAACTATGAGGGGACAACTTCTGTGTCTCTTTCCCATATAGTACACCGCTCAGGAGACGAAGCGGCTAGAATGACTACGTTCGAGTTAAAATCCGCCGATGAGGGGATGTCAGGGTCAGCCCCTGCTGTGGTCCTTCCGTGTCCCTTCCCTGTTTGACCAGCAGGTGCTGCTGGTCATCCTGTTCTTTGTGTTAGTCTTTGTTCTCCCCTGTTACCTGTCTAGCCACATGGCTCAACGTGTTGAGCATGTGATTGTCTGAGTACCCTTCTGTCCTGTGTTCGAATCCTGCCACCTCCTGTTTTTGTATTTTGGTTTAGTATCTTGTGACCTTG